GTCCTAAGCACCCCTGCTTGGACCAAATAAGCTATCACAGCTCATCAAATACATAATGAAGGATTTATAACAAAAATTCTAAGGCTATTACACAAGACCAAAATGAATATATTTCCTTTCTTATCGTTCCTTTCATTTCCCTTTCGGGCTTTCATAGCATCTTCGGCATTCATATGCTTCTACACTTTAATCAGTAACTCAACCATGCTATCCGGCGGATTGTTTAACAAGGATAACAAAAATTAGAGGACTACAATCCTCCCATAAAGGCTGTAAGGGCCACCTTGTCATCTACTTCTTCAACCAACAACATCTCGATATTAAATCGACTGATGAAATCCCGTAATGACTCATCTTTATCTTGCTTAACATTTAGTAGATAGATAAGAGGTTTCATGTGCCTCTATCTTCCTATGAAGTGTCTAATCTGCTTACTAAGCTAATCGAAATCATGGATGGACCCTGGCTTTAACTTATTGAACCAAACTCGCGCTAACCTTTTAAATATGGTGGGAAAGACCTTACACTTGATTTCGTCTAGTGCAACTTGCAAATTCATGAGCGACTTGAAAGTTTTTAAGTTGTCGAGGGGGTCTTGAGTTCCGTTGAAACTCTTGAGATGTGGCATCTTGAACTTTGGCAATGGGAAGCCCATGACCTAGGGGATCAAAAGTAAGTTAATCTTGTGCACAAGATCAGTGACTGTAGTAGGACCTTTTCCTTGTAGGGCTTGGGCCATACCTTCCACCTTTAGCTTCAAGTCCTAGATCTGTTGGTCAACATAAGTGGCCTCGATGCACTTCCCAACGTAAGACGCATCTACTTCATTTAAGGAACGGGGTGCAGGAGTGTATAACGCCCTCTGTTAATCTCCCGCTTAGCTATGCTTTGCTCCATCATCATCTTGTATCAAGTCATCGTCTTTCTGGTGAACGTGTACATGAGATACGACAGGGATAGTCACGTGTTGCATAATTATCGTATTTTGCTCGAGCAACTGATACATGCCTTAATTATTGTATTTTGCTGGAGAAACATTGTGACCTGGTCATTTAGGGCAAGCCTAGGTGCATCCTCATGATAGGAAGCATGCACCGACTGATCTCCCCTAGCACGAGACTGGGTAGCACGTGGTCGGTCTCCCCAATGATGGGATTGGCTCTCGTCACCATGATGTGACTGGTGTCAATCATAATATTGTGACTAATGACCACCAACATGGTGTGGTTGGCGCTGACACCCATCACCATGTTATGATTGGTTTCCACTAACATGCTATGGTTAGTGTTGACCTCCAATTTGAGTTCCAGATCGCAACTGATCCATTGTTTCTCTCAGAACTAGTAATGTTCCCACATACAATTCCAACTGTTGATGCAAGATTCTGAAATCATCGGGAACAACATCGTATCTACAAAGAAGGAAGAGGTAATCGAAGAGGCACCGGTGTGGTACCGGCCAAAGGATCTCCGACAATCAAGTCAATGTTAAACCATTGGAGGATATGGAAAGAAGAAAAGACTTTGCAAGAGGATTTGCATCGTACCTTTAGAGTTGGCCGACCCTTTTTATTATAGGGGTCTTGGTGGTTGTGTTCGCTTAGGGGATCAGTTCCTTTTCCTTGCCCAATACGAATTAGAAGAGTCGTCACAGAGGGTGGTAATAGTTATCTGTACTTCCTGAGGTTTATCTTATCCACTGGACACATACAAAAAGAACTATACTGGTCCTACAAAACAAGGGGAAAGAAAAAGTCTATTCAAAGAAGTGTGAAATATAATCATATCTACGTATACTTGCATCCAACATATGCTCACAAGTCCATGTATTGTGTTCTAATAACTTGTCCTAAAGTTTGCCTGTCTTTTATAGTTCGAAAAAAAAACTTATCCTAATGGTTGAGGGAAAAAAATGTTGAAATGTACCAGTGCAATCATTTTAATAGTGTTGTAACATTATTAAATTGAAAATTCAACACTTCTATGTTGTTATTAGACCATCAATTTAGAACTGTTGTATTAACAATTTAAAGTTACTGCATTGTCAATTCGAAGACACTTAAATTAAAGGGTAAATTACAGATTTCGTCGAATTTTGCTGACCTCCTATAAGATTTCGTCGAATTTTGCTGACCTCCTATAAGACTTGTCGGATATGCAATATCGTTTTTGTACTTCTATATATACTGTATTTTATTTCTATAAACATGTCTTTGAAGGGTAGAATCAAAATAGAAAGTTACAAAATCATTGTACCGAGTACATACCCCAGGGAATGTAAATGTATTTAGATTGCACTTATTGTGAAAACACTGTCATATGCCAGTCTTGATACATATACTTTTTTTAGTTATACTATAAATGTGTTTGATAGCATAAAATAGAAATTTTAAAATTAAAATTTATAAAATTTGAAAAAAATAACTCACAAAAATTAAATTAAATATTTATAAATTTTTTCCATTCTAATTTTAAAACTTCAATTTCATTATACCGTATGTTATGAGCAAAATTGTTAAAATGAACTATTTCCAGAGGAAACTTCTCAGGAGTGTTGTTCAAAACTTGAACACGTTGAAAACCGAAAACGACGGAAATGGAAGCACTCAGATTTTTCATACGTCACACTATGTCTAAAAGTAGCCATTTTTGGCAGCTGTTTCCATCAAGTAATGTTGATTACTTGTCATTTCATTTAAATTGTCGTGCCAGCTGACATACATTCCTATATGAATAAATAAAGTAGTAATGAGATGCCGCGTTTACACGTATTTGAATCCATCAATTCATCTCCAAGACACACAACTAAAAAGATTCAGAAAATTAAAGATGGACCCCACAACATGTGCACCACAAAACACAAGTCCACCACCAATCAATTTCCCTTTACCCATACACCCTAACGTGGGTCCCTTTTTTCTTGTTCTCTCTCTCTCTCTCTCTCTCTCTCTTCCTTTACCAATCACTCCAACATGGGCCCTTTTTCTTTGTTCTCTATTCCTGTTTTTTTAAATTATATTTATTATTTTATTTTATTTTTTATTTTTTAACCTCGGATCAATAGCTGACAATTAAGTAAACTGTAATTTTATATTCATTTTATGAGAAGTTATTACATTATTTTGGTTAATTAATCTCGATCTAATCACTGAATTGATAGTAAGTAAACTGTAGTTAGTCCCTCTGTCCTTAGGAGAGACGCTCTTTTTTGGAAGAAAAAAATATCTATTTTATTAAAAGTTATCACATGATTTTGAGTCAATTTGAGTCCATTGATGTTAAGCCAATCACTAACTGATACGTAAATAAATTATAATTTTATATCCGATTTATGAGAAGTTATTTTATGATTTCGGTCGATCTCTATTGGACTATTACATAATTTCGGTCGAATTTCATTGGACATACAGTAATTATAAAATGTATAAATTTTATTTAATTTTTTACTTACGTGTCTAATGGTGATTGGTTGGGACCAATACTCCTATAACTATTTTTTTTTTTATATAGGGTCAACATATGTTTTTTCTCTTTTAAAATTTATGTTGTCTCTCAACATCACACGTGAGATATGGTTTTAGAACCTAAACCAACCAAACTTATTGTAGTATTACAAATACAAAAACACTTGTGGAGGGATGAGAAGATGAAATTTCCTTTCTAACCGTCTTTTGCCAGCTTAGGTACAGTCCATTTCTAAGATATTCGATTTCCACCTTTTTGGTCCACAATAAGTTGCTGTCACCAACACAATACTCACTTCTATCTGTTGGACACAGCCTGGCAAACCAGTTAAAGCCTTTACAAACAAATATTAGCATCTTGTAAAAGAAAAAGGAAAAAAATGAATAAATAAAATAAATAAATAAGACTATGATCATTAAAAATATTAATATGGGGATAGAGGCATGTTAAAAGTATTGGTGTATTTTTTTTTTTTCCCCAAGACATATATATATATATATGGGTATTTCTAGAATCACATTAACAACAAATTATGACGATACTGATCTTTGATATAGGGTCGTTAGCAGTGGCTCCGATAAAATCAATGAGTAGTATAAAAAATAGAAATACTTGGCCAAATATAAGAACTAAAATATTGTTTATTAGTTAATATTGTTTATTAAGTATGTTTTTGTATTTTGAAAGCTATGCGTGAAAATTACATTCATTGACTTCATAAATTATGTTAAATTTAACTAAGAATAAATTACATACTATACATATCATTGGTAAGTCAAACAATAATTTTAAGTAGGAAAAAAAAATAAATAAATAAAAATTAAAGGAAAGAAAAATGAGAACTTAGAAAGGAAAAAAAATTAGAATTTGATTGTCTGATAGACCAGGAAAATTTAACCTTTTTTTAAAGGAAATCAAAGAAAATTTAAGAGCAAAATAGAAAAGAAATATTTTTAGAAATTAAAAAACAGTGGCTTATATAGAAATTTTCTTATAAATGTAAAAAAAAATAATAATAATAAAAAGTATATATATAAATATAAAAACGACACTAAATTTTATACTTGGCGGGCACACTGACTCCCTTGTCGTCAGTATAACAAATTTAGAAGGGAAAAAGAAAAAAAAGAGCAGCATAGTTTTAAATTTGAAGCAATTTATTTGTTAGATTTTGAAACAAAAAATACACACCTTAAGATTAGATTTATTCTCTTTCTTCCATTTCAACACATGTTAGCAACAAATTAACTTAGATTTATTATCTCTTCTTCCATTTCAACACATGTTAGCAACAAATTAACATTTGTTGATGCAAGAATCTGCACCATCTGGAGTAAATTACTACAATACACAATACATTTTATACATAATTAAAGAGGATTAGACATTTCATTTAATCACTAAGTTTTTTTTTTTCTTTTTCACTTTATTTAACTAGATCTTATCTAAATTTGTTGGTGGATCTTAGTTATTAGTTTGACATTCACATGACAATTTGGAAGAACAGGCAAATCATGATCTACATAAAACAATAAATATTCAAAATCATTATATGCATTTACTATTATTTAAAATCTTGACCATGATTTACATAGAACAATGAATATAACATCATTGATGAACAATAAAAAGGAATTGATACACACATTTATATTCCATCTTCTTTCTTTACTCTTTTTCTGTTTTTAACCCCCCACCATAACAAACCCAAGTTCTACCTCCTCAAGCTCTCATCAACTTACCAGTCAGCTTTAAAGAATCCAAACATAAAATACAGACAATCTATTGTTTCAGTTGTTTTCACAACACAGATTATGAGAATAGCAGCATATAAGAAAGGCACATCCATGTCAAAAGATCGAAAAAATTGGGAAAAATAAATAAATCCAATAAAACCACAGTACTGTTACTGAGCTCGATCGCTTCTCTGTCATCGGCAATCCATAGAATGAAATGTGTCCGCGAATGGCTCTGAAGGAATGCTTGAATGGGTTCTGCTGTTCGATAGATCATGGATCAATGTGGATGTGCCTTCAGCAGCTTGCCATCTTTGAAGAGCTTGAGGAAGGCTCATGTGGAGATCAATGCCATAGTTGTCTTCTTCTTCATGGCAAGTAGGTTTCCACTGCTCCACAAGGGGACCCAAAATATTAACCGCGTGGCCCATATCCGGTCTCTGTAACGGATCGCGTGCAGTGCAGTGAAATGCCAGCTCGGCCACCTTGCAGATGCTCTCTAAAGTCTCCTCGTCCGGTTCAAGAGTTTGATCAATAGCCTTGGGAATGTTTTCTTTGTTAATTAGGACCCTCCGGAACCATGTAACCAACTGAGATCTCTCATCTGGCACTGTTTCGTCTAGCGCTTTTCTGCCTGTGATTATCTCCATCAAAACCACTCCATATGCATACACATCCACTTTCGTAGTGACCCTTCCAGTTTCTGTTAAGAAATAAAACAAATTTAATCCGAATTTAATTTCACCAGTTTATAACTAAAGCTAAGAGCCTCAAGAACTTGATCAAGCCAAACAATTAATTAGAGTATCTCACATAAAAGAAGAAAATGGGAGGGAACTTCATTTACACAAGTTTTCCTAATAAAAGATCGATCATAAATCTTTCGTGCTAGTACCAGTAGTGGAGTTCATATCATGCAGCGATGTCGGTTTGCAAACACAATCGGTTGGTTGACAAACAATTGCATGTTGTATGTTCTCGACATTAAATTCACAAGGCAGACAGGATCATTAATTTCTAGACTAGAGAAACTGAAGAATGGCATAAGAAAACAAGGCATTGGTTGACAACAATACAATCGATCGACCATCAATGCAATCATGTATCAAATTAATTGGGGAACATACTTATCAAAAATAATAATAATAACTGGGGAACATGTAGATAGATAACAACATGACATTCCCTTAATGTAACTTAGACCTACTAAGTCTTTTGCATTATAGCTCTACCCCTCTTTTTGATAATCTTGACATAAAGTATACTACATTAATTCCAAAGGTCAAAGCTAAGTTAAACATTAATAACAGGTGATTGATGGCTAAAAACATTACTATGCCTAGAACAATTGAAGTCTGTCCAGAAAAAGCAGTCAACAACATATATAACGTCTAGGTATAAAGCAAAAGGTTGAATCTTTCTAAATTTTCCATAATTTTCATAATATAATTAGTAAGACAACAAAGTAAGAAAGCAAAGGTTATGCTTACCAGCATACTCGGGTGCAAGATAACCGAAAGTTCCTGCCAAACGCGTCTCAAGAGAATACTTCCCCCCGTCGGGTGCATTTTTGACCAAACCGAAATCGGCAACCTTGGCTCTCATGTCATCTCCAAGAAGTATGTTGGATGGTTTTAAGTCCCTATGAATGAAACTTTGTTGTGCTAAACCATGCAAATACTCAACCCCTCTTGCCACATCCAATGCTATTGTCACCCTTTGCTTCCAAGTAAGAGGAGGATATCCATGCTTCTCAAACAAATGCTGCGAAAGAGTCCCCTGTGGCATATATTCATATACCAAAAGCCTCTCATTGCCATTGATGCAATAACCCAAAAGAGCCACCAAATGCCTATGCCTAACTTTCGTCAAGACCGCGATTTCTGCTTGGAACTCATTCATTCCTTTGTTACCCATTGCCACAGATTCCATCCTCTTCACCGCAATCTTCGTCCCGTCGTGCAATTCCCCTTTGTACACAACTCCAAATCCTCCTCTACCCAAAATATTATTTTCACTGAAATTGTCTGTCACTTGTCGAAGAACTTGAATCGAAATCGCAACATTCCCACCTTCAAAAATATTCATGTCACCATGATCACCACTGCTCTGGCTGTGCAATTCGCTTGGCACTCCACCATACCCATTGCTATTACCCATCATGCCAATCTTCACCATGTCCTGCGCTTTTTCGGGACTCCCTACCCTCCCAAATCTCTGATGCCGTTTCTTAACATAGCATTTGTATGACACAAACAACACAACCCCAATAAAAACTACAAGAGCAACCACAAGTCCAGCAACCATACCTGCTGAAACAGAAGACCCTTTTGAAGTCCCGGGAGAACCTCCGGACGGCGTAGTAGAATTCGATCCAGAACCCGGTGTTCCACCACTTCCTCCACCCCCGGAGCTCGTGTTCTTCCCCAGTAAGAGATTGCCCGCCGAAGTCAGCTTCACAGTTGATGGAAAAACTGGGACTTGCCCACTTAGATTGTTGTTCGAAACATCAAGTGTTTGAAGGTTAGGCAAAGTTGCCAAGCTATCTGGAATTGACCCACTGAGATTATTATCATTCAAATACAAAACACGCAGTGAAGATAGATTGGCGAAAGCAGCCGAAATTGTTCCTGAAAAATGCTGCTTCCCGAAATTGATAGTTGTCACATTCTTCCCCTGCGGATCACAGGTGATGAATGTCCATTTCTGGCAAGCATCATTCCCTTCCCACGACTCGGCCAAGTTCATCGGATACCCGATAGCTCCGGCGATCTCGAGAAGCGTGGTCACCTGCGAATCACAGGGTCCCGGAGTGCTCTTGCAGAAGCTATTCGTCGTCCCGAGTGCCACTGTAACTCCATTGCCAAACGAAGGCATAGGACCCTGCAATTTATTGTTCTGCAACGAGATATTCACCAATTTGGGAAGAGAACCCAGCGTCGGAGGCACGACACCGGTGAACCGATTGTCCCGGAGCTGCAAATCGAAGAGATTCGCACACTGAGACAGGTCCGGGATCGGACCCGTGAACCCATTTTGCTGTATCCACACCTGAGAGAGCTGGGTCATCGCGGACAACACGTCGATCGTACCCGACAATCCCATCAACTGATTGTTCAGCCAGAGGTTCTGAATCTCCGATGACCCGAAAGACGCCGGCAACGAACCGGTCAAATTGTTGTAAGACAGCCGGAGATTCTGCAAATTGGGGAAGTTACTGAAAAAGTCCGGTATCGAACCGACCAAGTTGGCATTACTAGCATACAATGTGCCCAAACTGCTAGATTGGGTCAAATCTTGAGGAATCGTCCATGGCGACAACCTGGGGTTGTCGCTGAGACTCAAAGTCTGCAAATTGGTGAGACCCACAAAGAAATCTGAGGGAATCGAAGTGAAATTGTTGCTGTCCAAGAAGATTTGTTCGAGGGAAGTGAGATTGGCGAGAGATGGGAGAGACCCAGAGAGGGCGTTCTTCTGGAGAGAGAGGGACTTGAGCTGGGTGAGCTGGTTGAGATCGGAGGGGAGAGAACCGGAGAGAGATTTGGAATTGAGGTTGATGCCGGTGACCCGGTTCGAGCTGTCGCAGTTGAGGCCGGACCAGTTACAGTAGTCGGCGCCGGTCCAGTCGGATGGGGCTGGGGAGAGGCTGTTGGCGAGCTTGGTTATGACGGCGGCCTCGTCAGCTGAGGAGAGAGAGAGGACGGCGAGGAGAAAGAAGAAAAGGGCAGAGAGAGAAAGTAGGGTTTTGGGAGATGTCATTGTTGGAGGTGGAGCTGGTTGTGGTGAGGAGAGAGAAGAGACATATAATCTTAGTTAGAGAGAGAGAGAGAGAGAGTTGGGTTTGAGTTTGAGTTTGAGTTTGAGTTTGAGCTTGTTGGATCTTGAAGGGTGTGTTTTCAGACAGGAGAGAGACAGAGGAAGAAACGGCGGATTTTACGAAAAAAGCTGTGCTAAGGTGACTGACTGTCAAACGAAATAAGTATTCCTGGGAGTATTTTTTTAGAAAAAGTTTATGAAAAGCAGGGTTTAGTGTTCGACAAGAAGAACTATCGTTTTTTAACTATAAAAAAAAAAACTATCGTTTTAGAAAATTACCATAACCATACTTATAATTTTTTTTTTTACAAAAATGTCTTCTTCTTTTTTCTTTATTATAGAATTTCTTGATAAATATGTACATTACTATTTTTTTTCAGTATTACCCCTTATTACTAAATTACCATTAGTTTCTTTCCTTGATAAAATGCAAATTTTGCTATTTATTTCCAATATTTTGTGACTAATACGTATTTAGAAAAAAAAAAAAAAAAAAAAAAAAAAAAAAAAAAACACTAATTGTTACTAAAATTAATACTCTTAAATGATTTAATAAATTATTTCAAATTCACTTTTAGCTAAAAAAACACGAACATGGGACATACGACATGGATATGAAGATACAGCAAATCTTAAAAAAAAATACTAGGATACTTAAGGCGGAATACAATAATTTTTCTTTTTTAAAAATAAATTTATATATAGAAAAATACAATTTTATCAATTCCTTGTAATATTATGAATGTAAATGCACTAATTAATATGTTCATAAATAAAGAAGCAAGTAAAGAAAAAAAAAACAAAACAAGGAAAAGTTCTAATTAAGCATAAATAAACAATTGACCTTAAAAAAAACAATTGTGGGATGAGAATTAAGAACAATTGTGGTGATGATAATTAAGAACAATTGTGGTGATTGATTTGGTAATTTTGGTGTTTTAAATACATTTTTGTTGTATTATAATTTGATCCCATGTGTTTAACTAATAAATTTTTAAATATTATAATATGAACTTCGTCATATCCCAGAAATATCCTCGGTGTATCCTCACGTATCATCAGTGTGTCCAAGCCATATCAAAAATTTAAAATTTTATTATAAAAAATCAATACTTCTCCGGAGTATCATACCCATGTCTGGGTGTATCCTAGACATATCGATACGTATTTGATACTGTCACGATGCCTCCAAAAAAATATCCATACTGTAAGATTATTTATTTAATTGTGGCCCACATGATTTGGACCTGTGACATATTACTTCGTGGCTAAGTAAATAGATATCAATTAATATTATTTATTTATGGTCAACTTATAATTACCTTTTTGGTAATTACTTATTGGAGAAGTGTTTTCCTTTCTTATTTCTTATTTTGATGGAAAGTAGAATTATGTTACTAATAGGAAAACTGGTCCTCTCTCTACCTTTATAAAAGTGCATATACTCCATCAATTATATACGCTAATGAAAACAACACGTAAAAATTTTATGTGTGCAAAAGGTCAAGAGAGAGAAACCAGTTTCCACCTTTGCCTATTGATCAAAGTTGCAGATTAGTTAATGGCCAAAGGATATGGATGTTGGACTTAATCTCAACAAGAATTAATATTCTGAATCGAGGTATTTATATCTAACTAGTATTTATTTATGCATTATAGATATGTGAAAATCATGAAGTTCTAAGATATGGGATTCATGTAAATTTGTGATTAATGGCTTAGCACGAATTATTATAATTTACATGTGGTATCAGAGCTAACGGTTTAGCAACTCATTATTTTTCATTAAAGTTGCATAAATAATATGTATAATTTTAAAATTAAATGATTGTATAATACATTCTTTTAGAATCGTATGTTTAGATCAGTCCGTGTGGTTTTTGGGTTTAGGTATCTCAATTTCTGAGCCAAAATTGAATTATGAAAGTTGGTTACTGATACATAGTTTACATATGTGTAATAGTACAAATGTATGCATAATGTGTGTAAGACAAACAACTTCAATGCTTTAGGTTACTGATTTTCGTGCATGACTAATAAAGAACATTGAATTAAAAAAATAATAATAATAATAGCATTTGTCTTGCAATTGTTTTTTAAAAACAGTAAGTTGTGAAAGGATTAGAAAGACTCGTTATTATTATTATTTAAAAATTAATAAATACATAAAGTTTGTGTATTTATTTATTTTATTAAAGAGGTTTAAATTATTGTTATAAGTATTTGTCCAATGATTTGAAGATTCTAATTTTAATTTAAAATAAATTAAAATTAAAGTTATTGAATACATAAAATATATGTATTGATTTATTTGTTTTAGGAATTTGAATTTCTAGAATAATTTGTGAGTTTAGAAATTTAATCTAATAAACTAAACATGTAAATAACTTATTGTTTCGTACCCAAACATACATACATATTGTAGAATCAATTTTAAATTGATTCAATTATGATCTTTAAGTCCGAAAATAAAATAATATATTTTATGATGTATATAAAATAAAAAGATATTTTCTATGAAATTTCGGACTATTAAGGTTTTGAGATCGAAGTTGCTTAAACTTTAATCGACAATTATGAGTATGTGTGTATAATGTTAAATGGGTAAATTAATAATTAATTAATTACTAGTTAATTTAATACTCATATTATGTGTGAGTTAGTAGTTACCAAAGTGGCCTAACCATAATGGTCGATGAATATTAATTTTAGTAGTAAATATAACTTAATGATGAATTAATTACTGTCTAATTTAATATTCATATTATGTGAAGATTGATAGCTACTAAAGTGCCCAATCATAATTGTTGAGGTTGAATTTCGTCGCGGTCTAGTACGACACCGTTTCCTGCAAAATAAGGATGGCAAAGTCAAACACCGATGTAGTGCCGGCCGTTGACCCTCCGACGATCAAGTCAGCAAGGATTCTCGATAGAGAATTTTAATCGTAATTTGCTTAGTAGGAGTTTTTTTGTGCGTACCTTATCCCTGAGTCGTCTTTGTCTTTATAGTCACTTCCCTTATTCTTGATAAGGGAGTTCCATCGTCCTTAGCCCATGGAGCCTACCTCATGGAAATCATATCCTTGATAAGATTTGAACTTATCCCATGACAAATCCTATCCTAGATACGATTTGTCATCATTCTTATCTAATAGAATAGTTATCCTTAATAACGAGATATTATCGTCTGAGAGTTGGAGAAATCTGGTGGCAGGTCAATATTTAATTCCCTTTTTTGTTAAGTCAAGATAGGCTAGGGTTATTTTTCCCTTTCAGTTGCCCCCTATTTCTGGGTACGTGGCGGACCAAGGAAATACTTTCTATATTCCATTTGTTTCCTTTTTACTACAGGCCCCTTCCATATTGTAGTAAGACTCCTTTACAAGAACTTCACTGTTACTTGAAAAAGAATTTTCTTTCCTATAAATAGATAAATATATATTTATTTATTTACCTTCCTTTTCTTTTTGGTCTGAAATCCTCCAAACTGGATCCTAACTGTGAGTTTATTGTGGATCGTTGTAGATACGTAATTAGGTCAAGTTGTCTCTACCAGGTTATTGGTGTAATTCCAAAGTGGTTTCGCTATTTTCGCGATATTCGATACCTCATCATGTTCGTGCAGAAAAATAACTTGAATACTGAATCTCAATCCGAGGACTCAACCTCTGAAAGTGTTGAAGAACTCGATCCTGACTATGCTGATGAATCTGGTGTTGATTACTCCTCAAGACCAAGGACTGCTTTTTCCAAGCAACCTCCTCGTGAAGGAGAATCCTTAATGAAGGATGAGAATTTACAGAGTTGTAGAGTTAAATATTCCATTCCTTCATCTATTCGTCTTCACAAACCCAAACCAGAAGATAGATGTTCTTCTATTCGTTTGGGTGAGGTATGTTTTTTCGAGTCGACTTTTGCTGTGGGCTTGCGTTTTCCGATTCACCCATTTGTAGAAGAAATTCTTTCTCATCTGAAGATAGCTCCTTCTCAAATTGCTCCTAATTCATGGAGAATTATTATAGGCTGTTTGATTGTTTGGGGAAAGTGTGGCAATGGCCGTCTAACAGTAAATCAATTCCTGCATTTTTATTATCCCAAGAAGAAAAAAGACAATTTTTAGTACTTCCAGTGTAGATCAAAGAAGACCCTCCTCCTTGTCGCAACCCCTAAAAATAATAAAGGTTGGAAGAGTCGTTTCTTCTTTATTTTCGGTGCATACGGGAAATTTCCAACTATTTGGAATAATTCAGATCCAATAGGTAAGATTTATTTGTATATAGTTTCCAAATTAATAATTTTTTTTTTTTTTTTTTTTTTTGCACCCGAGGGAATAGTACCCTCGGGTACTGTTCATGAACAGTACCCTCGGGTACTGTTCATGAATATGATTTTTTTTTTTTTTTTTTTTTTTTGCACCCGAGGGAATAGTACCCTCGGGGTACTGTTCATGAACAGTACCCGAACAGTACCCTCGGGTACTGTTCATGAATAGGAATTTTTTTTTTTTTTTTGTACCCAATGGAATAGTACCCTCGGGTACTGTTCATGAATAGGAAATTTTTTTTTTTTTATTTTTATGTGCAACTTATTATTCTTTTTCCCAGAATTTAAGGACAAACCAACCCTCTCCATTCCAGAAGCCGAGCATGTTGGTAATGCCTCTTCTTACCCAGTAAAGACCTTTAGCGATCTCATAACTGACGAGGCTTTAGATTTGTATGTACGAGCTCATAGCTTAAAGGAAACCTCCACCCACTTAGAGAAAGGTAAGAAAAACAAACATACTTATATGTGAACTTATTGATTTTTAGTTAATATCTCATTAAGTATTTCCCTTATTACTTTTCATGCAGGCAAGAAGCTCAGTAAAAGACTCCTAGCCCAAGTCCGGTCAAGTAATCTCCCTTCTACTCCTGCTTCCAAAAAATTACGAAGGGTAGGAGAAGGGAATCATGGTACATCCACAAGCCCTGGAGTGTTATCAGGTCCTACTCTTGTACCTCTAGGTTTCAGCGGATTTGGTGGGGTTCCTACTAGTTTCGAAAGTTTTTGTTCAGTATCAACCAACCAAGCCTTTTCCCACGGGGAATCGATTCTCGATGACGCTAATGTCGCGAATGACAGGTTACATAAAATGGTAGTAAAAGACGACACTGCCAGATTGCAGAGTCTGCCAGTATCTGAGCTTTCAAAGAAATTTCTTCATCTAATCGGCCAGGTGAGATTTTACCCTTATTATGCGCATCTATTTTTTTTCGTTTATTTATTTATTTATTTATTTTTAACTGTTCGCCACTATTTATTTATTTATACGGCACTACATACTCTGTTGTTATCGCCAAAGAATACGAGAAGCTTTCCTTAGAGATGGCTTCCCTCAAGGCTAAATATGAAGATGTTACTTCTACACTTAAAATAAAAGAAGATGACTTGACTAATGCAAAATTAAACTTTCAAGATGAGAAAGTGAAACTTACCAAAGAATACTCTGATAAGCTGGAATTTGAGAAGCTAGCTGCCGTGGATAATTTTAAAAATTCTAATGAATTCAAGGTGCTCATAGGCAAGGCTTGCTGTGATGGTTTTGACCAGTTCAAAGCTCTTGTCGGCAAAGATCGTCCAGACATAGACTTTTCTAGGTATGACGTTCTAAGTGAGAACGAAGAGGAAGATTGAATTCCATAGTATTAGTCATATATATATATATATATATATATATATATATATATATATATATATATATTAGGTTTTTTGATTTCTCAGTATGTTGTTCCTTTAAAACTTTTCAGAATATCTTTGAATCCAGAGAATAGTTGCTCTACTTTTGTCTTTCATGGTATTGTTCCATACTTGTTGTTTCCTTATACAGAACTCATTTTACTTTCCCAGGCTTCACTCAGCCCGTCCTTCTTTCGAAGGAACATATTTTTACGAGCTTCACCCAGCTCGTCCCTTTAGTTAGGAAAAGTCACTTACTTCTTTTAATAAAGAAAGGGACTTAATGTGTCACTAGTCCTTATGTGACTTATAAAATTTAGTAGAAACACGTGCAATAAATATGAATAACCATTTTATTAAAGACCTATCGAAAATAATAATCGATAGTTGAATATCAGCATCCGTTACACACTGGTCTGCTTTATTGTGGCTGAAAACATTCTATCACTTTTAAAAGTGAGATAATAAAATAAAACACAGCCTGGCATGAGTACCTACTGGTAATATTTCCTTAAATGTTCTGCATTCCACGGGTGGGGAAGCTGGCTCCCACCAAGTGACTCTAACCAGTATGCCCCCAGTCTGTTGCTTTTGGTTACTCGATAAGGGCCCTCCCAATTGGGAGCTAACTTTCCTTCCCCCTTTTCCTTAGTAGCTGGGGTAACCTCACGAAGCACCAGGTCTCCTGGCTCGAACCTCCTTGGCTTGACTCGGGCATTGTAGTACTTGGATATCATCCGCTTGTAAGCCGCAACCTTGACCTGGGCCTGCTCCCTTTTCTCTTCTACCAGGTCTAGGTTTAATCGTAGTTCCACTCCGTTCTGTTGAGGTTCAAAATACTTGGTTCTGAAGGTAGCAACCTTGGTTTCTACCGGGATCACAGCTTCACTTCCAAAAGCTAACCCAAAAGGGTTCTCCCCAGTAGGGGTTCTTACGGTAGTGCGATAGGCCCATAAAACTCCGGGTAGTTGTTCAGGCCACAAGCCCTTGGCCTTTTCTAGGCGTGTCTTGATCATCTTCAATATTGTCCTATTCGTGACTTCAACCTGCCCATTGGCTTAGGGATGGGCAGGAGAGGAGAAATGAACTTTGATCCTAAGTTCATTACAAAAATCGAGGAACTGCTCACTTTCAAACTGCTTCCCATTATCGGTCACAATTACCCTTGGTGCTCCGAACCTGTAGATTATTGTCTTCCAGAAAAACTTTTTTACTTCATTCGCTCTAATATGAGCTAATGGCTCAGCTTCTACCCATTTGGTGAAATAATCGATAGCCACAATTACGTATTTAGTTTGTCCCTTCCCTTGGGGTAAGGGGCCGATGAGGTCTGTCCCCCATTGGGCAAAAAGCCACGGCCCTGTAAGAGGGGTTAACTTTTCTGCTGGTTGTTTTGGGACATTGGCGAATCTCTGACACTTGTCACATTTCTTCACAAACTCAAGTGCATCTGTCCTCATAGTAGGCCAAAAGTATCCTTGTCGGATAGCTTTATGCGCTAGTGATCTGCCCCCAGCATGATTTCCACAAAGGCCTTCATGTATGTCTTTTAGAATGTAATTTGCCTCATCAATGGAGACACAACGCAAGTAGGGTAGAGAAAATCCCTTCTTGTAGAGAACCCCATCAACGAGGGAATATTTTGCCGCACGCATCCTAATCTTTCGTGCTTCCATGCGGTCCTGGGGTAGCTCTTCGTTCTCAATATACCTGATAATGGGTTCTGCCCACTCCATGCCATGGGCCACCTGGTGTATTTTCTGTGGCCAATCCCAGATCGTGCTAGGCTCATCCAAATATCCCACGGGTATGGCTTTATCTTCCTCTGTGGTTGCCAATCGAGCCAGGGCGTCTGCCTGCGCATTCTCTTCTCGGGGAATCCGGTGAATAGAAAACTTCTTAAAAAAGCCCTTGATATCCTCTATCTTATGTAAATAGGTCTTCATCTTCTCATCCTTGGCTTCATATTCCCCCTGGACTTGTCCAGTTATTAATTGAGAGTCAGTATATGCTACTAGTCGTTCAACTTCCAAAGCTTTCGCCATCCTGAGGCCTGCTAGGAGGGCTTCATACTCTGCCTCATTGTTGGTTGCTTTAAAACCAAACCTGAGTGCATATTTGATGCATTCCCCATTTGGGGAGATAATTACTAGCCCTGCCCCACTTGCACGGGCGTTGACAGACCCATCCACATATAACGTCCAAGTAGATTCGGCTTCTTCCTGCTTATCTGCAGCATGCTCGGGCCCATCTTCTAGTGTGAATTCCGCTATAACATCTGCCAGTACCTGGGCTTTTAAGGCCGTTCGGGGTTTGTATTGGATATCGAACTCTCCAAGTTCTACCGACCACTTCATGAGTCGCCCTGAAGTATAAGGTTTGCGGAGAACCTGCCTAAGTGGTTGGTCCGTCAATACTATTATTGTATGAGCTTAGAAGTAAGGCCCGAGTTTCCTCGCGGAGATAACTAGAGCAAATGCCAACTTTTCTATCCTTGGGTATCTTTCTTCCGCCCCCCTGAATGCACGACTAATATAATATACCGGTTTCTGGTTTCCATCCTCTTCGCGGACCAAGGCTGAGCTTACTGCCGAGGGAGAAACTGCCAAGTACAAATACAACTGTTCTCTTTGTATCGCCCGCGACAATAATGGTGGTGAAGTGAGATACACTTTTAGCTCTGTAAAAGCTTGCTCGCACTCAGGGGTCCATGAAAAAGCTTTCTTGAGCACACGGAAAAAAGGCAAACACCTATCGGTCGCCCTGGAAATCAACCTGTTCAGAGCTGCGATCCTTCCTGTCAATCTTTGAAGTTCCTTGGTCGATGCTGGAGACTGCATGTTGAGAATCGCCTGGACCTTCTCAGGGTTAGCTTCTATCCCTCTTCTACTTACCATGTAACCGAGGAATTTCCCAGAGGAGACTCCGAAGGCACATTTACTTAGGTTGAGCTTCATCTGGTGTTTCCTGAGGACTTGGAACATTTCCTGTAGATCAACCAGATGGTCTTGAGCTTTCAAGCTTTTTACAAGTATGTCATCCACATACACTTCCATATTCCTTCCGATTTGGTCCTTAAACATCAGGTTTACTAGCTGCTGATATGTTGCACCAGCATTTTTTAGCCCAAAAGGCATCACCTTATAGCAATATAAACCTCTGTCCGTGATGAAAGAGGTTTTATCTCTGTCTGGCGTGTGCATTGAGATTTGGTTATACCCTGAGTATGCATCCATAAAACTGAGCAGCTCATGGCCAGCTGTCCCTTCTACCAACATATCAATTCTTGGTAGAGGGAAACTATCTTTGGGGCACGCCTTATTTAAATCCGTAAAGTCTACACACAACCTCCATTTTCCATTGGCCTTTTTTACCAAAACAACATTGGCCAACCAGTCGGGATAATGAACCTCCTGGATGAAATCAGCTTTCATAAGCTTATTCACCTCTTCTGATATAGCCATGTTCCTTTCCGCGGCAAATGTTCTTCGCTTTTGCCTGATAGGTTTGAATGTAGGATCTGTGTTTAATCGATGCTCAATCGTAGTTGGATTAATACTGGGCATGTCTTCATGTGACCAAGCGAATACATCTTGATTCTGTCTGAGGAACTGTATAAGAATATTTGTGAAATCTGAGGGGAGCAGAGACCCTATCTTCACCTTTTTTGTTATGTCAGTGTCATTCAAGCATATCTCCACCAAGTCCTCGATTGGCTTAGCCCGGTCTTGCTCATTCTCTTCAACTTCATCCACAATCAAAGCCTCCTGCTGTCTCTTTTCTTTGAGAGATGCAACGTAGCATTCTCTGGCAATGGACTGATCTCCTCTTAGTTCGCCCACGCCATGCTTGGTAGGGAAGCGCATTAATAGGTGATAAGTCGAAGTGATAGCCCTCATCGAATTTAAGGTCGCTCTTCCTAAGATGACATTGTAAGCAGATGGACAATCCACCACCAGGAAGTCGACCATGACAGTGACTTGCTTTGGGCTGGTTCCTGCAGTGACAGGAAGGATGACTGCTCCTAGAGGATAGACTTTATCTCCCGTGAATCCTACCAATGGTGATCTGGTAGGTCTGAGTTTCTCCTTACCAATCTTCATCTTGCTGAATGCATCAAGAAAAATGATATCAGCTGAACTTCCATTATCTACCAAGATTCGCCGAGTATTATAGTTAGCGATCATCATGGTGACGACAAGAGGGTCGTCATGAGGTTGCTGCACATCTTTCATGTCTTCATCTGAGAATGTAATAACTGGATCACCTAAACGAGGCATCTTTCGATGTTGAATCTGTACTCCCACTTCGCACACCTCAGATGAGCTTCGCATTCTCCTTGCATAGGCCTTACGGGCTGAGCTCGATTCTCCACCTCCTGCACACCCCCCGGCTATGACCCTGATCTCTCCTATTGGTTGTTGATCAGGAGGGTGGTTATCTCGGCCTACTCTTAGTGGGTTAATGTCGGTTCTGTCATTCCCCACAATAAATTTTCGCATGTGCCCCCTTCGGATCAGAGTCTCAATTTGATCCTTAAGGTCGAAGCAATCCTCTGTAGCGTGCCCATGGTCTTTATGGAACCTGCAATACTTATCACGAGGTCTCCTTACCGGATCTGACTTCAACTTCGGTGGCCACTTCAAATATGGTTCATTCTGGATCTGTAGGAAAACTTGATCTATCGGCATTTTTAAAGGAGTGTAATTTGTATACCTCTCCATGTTCTTATAGCGAGATGCCCTTTCATTCTGGTTGACCATGGGTTTCTTATACTTGGTTTCCTTTTCATCTCTGATCGTCAAGGCCGGCCTTTTCTTGTCTGACTTCTTATCATCCCCTTCTTTTCCCTTTCTCGCAATCATTGCATCTTCAGCATTCATATGTCTTTTAGCTCGAACCAATAACTCGGCCATGTTGGTAGGAGGTTCCTCTGATAAAGAGAAGAGAAATCTTGA